TCGGTAATTCCCCTGATTCTTTTCTCCTAATTAAATTTAAGGGTTTAGAATCTTTTTCTTAAATCTAATAACTACAAGCATTTTGAATTCAAATATGTTATGAATTCGCAGCGGAGCCTCGAGACTTGAGCTTAATTGAGCGCTCGATATGTGTCTATGGGAGCCTGTCTTTTTTCATGCACTGAAGGCCTCCGATCCTTTTATGCCCAGAAAGTTTCTTGGCACAAATTAGGATTTCTTGACTTCCGGTATGGATGGGGATAGCATATATATATATATATATGAAAGGATTTGTTTGAGTCAGTTTCCACTATATATTTTACCATTTTCGGTCAATTTTACTGGAGAAATTTTGATATTTATATTTTTTTTCTTCAAAACATCTAATTGCTTAGATTTTTTTTTTTAATTTGCTGAATAAACCTTTTAATTTTGTCATTTTTAGTTTCTTCATTTTTTTTTTCTTTAATGTCTTCCGGTTAGTTCAAACATATATCCTAAGATTACAAACATCTTTACAATCCTATGATTGTTGAAATTTTGAACTACCGGAAGACATTTAAGAAAAAAAATGAAGAAATTTAAAATGATAAAAATAAAAGTTTTTATTCAGAAATTAGAAAAAATCTAAGCAATTAGATGTTTTGGAAAAAAAATAAAAATACCAAAATTTCCCAAGTAAAATTGACCGAAAATGTTAAAAAAAATATAATGGAAAATGACTCAAACAATCCCTTATATTTTTAGGCTTTAGAAGGGAAAAAAATGTAAGAGTAGGAAAGTTTTTGTATTTATGTGTAGTACATGAAGTATATGGGTGTTTTTGTATTTAACCCTAAAAAAAAAGACAAAAAAATAATTGAAGACCTAAATTATGTGGCGAAATTAAATTACACGATGACTCACTCTTGTTTCTCTCTCTAGGGGGGGCGTGCTGCAAATATCATTTAAAGCTATTTGTCATATATATATTTATTAAGATAGAAAAACAAAAAAAAGAAGATAAACGAGGACCATACAATATGACTATGTAGTTACATACAGTATAATGAATCGTAAACTCCAAGTAGTCAAGTTGCCATGCATACTATATACGTACAACCAACCTGCAGCTTGTCATACAGCTTTACTCACGTGATATTTAATTCTTGTTTCTCATTTTGGTGAAATTATTTTATAATAGTGCAATTAAATTACAAATAATGATGAAAATGTGTCGAAAAGCCGAAGAAGACCGCTCAAATGAATAGGCCCGAACTAGTGTCGAAACCCGACGAAAAGTCGAAGAAGAAGGCTAAAATGAATAGGTCCCTTATATTTTGTGTAGTAGTTCCCAAAGCTTCCTAAGAAGCTTTGAAACTAAAATATCTTGCCTCGGAATATGTGCCCGGATCGCGACCTCGGCTTCTTGGATCGCAATCTGGTGACCTCAGGAAACTTGCAACCCCCGGCCTTCCCCAAAATCGATTTATCTTCGTATCTGTGACGTCTAATTGTATATACATCTTAAATTTTATGATATAATAGATTTTCTCGCAGATGTCGACTTCATCAATTATAGTTTTTTTTTTCAGAAAAATATCCTAATGTGTTATATATTCCGAATTCTGCCGATTCCAATTTGAAAATGTTCAATTTTTGGAACAAGTTTTTTTCGTTGCAATTTCTGAAATTTTGATTTCCGAGTTTTTTGGAACGGAATCGGAACTAGTTTTTCACTTCCGAAAAAAATCGGAATTTTTCCAAAAGGGCTAATTCCAATCCGATCTTTCCAATTTACAACCCATACATATACTTTACATATATAGCATAAGCTGTAAAGAAAACTACAGGCAATATGCATCCTTGTGATTCTTTCAAAACAGAGAAGTTCACAATTAAAAAGTAGGTCTTTGTCCACCAAAGACTTTCAACCACCCAAAACAACACAAGGATTTCCATCTTACTTCCAATTCCTAATCAACTAAAAAAAAAAAAACCGAGAGAAACGGCACCAAAATATGTCCGAAGAAAACGGTACCATTACCAGATGAATTTCTAAAAAATCTCAGTACTGAATTATACGACGAACTAATTAAGGGGACCTCTTTTTGGGCAAAGTAGTGACCATACCATCGTTATACCAATTGGAGAATCCTTTCTCAAGAGCCTCTCTCATCCAGACGTGTCGGCAGCATTCAATAGCTTCCGGGATTTTCAGCCAACTTCTTTCTCTGTGGCTTTTTTCAGGCCACGACTCGAGTTCTTCATTCACGTGCAAAGCATACATGGCAGCTCTACATAAACCTTCTGGGCTGTACTCATCCTGCAGTGTCTTGCTCTTGAAAGAATAGCATCCCAAGAAATGCTGAAACGGAAAAACAAAAAACAAATATATAATAACAATAATGGTTGCAAGGTTGGTTTCGATGGTCGTGTCGAAAAAATTAGTAGGATCTTATTGTGTACAACTACAAACATTCACAAGAACCATTATAATAAAGCTTTTCGTAAGTAGTCATTTGACCTTTCAGAAACTTCCATGACAATCGAATAGTATGATGAAACACTCCCTTCCGCATTATGTTGTTTGTAATATGACACTAAATACATGGTAATGCATAATCATATTTAAAAGATGTACGATATAACCGTTAAAACGGATGTCCAAACTAGCTTAGCTATACAATAGCGTGCTTTCTTCCCCATCATAAAAGATAAAATTACCTCTCTATAGGAAACGGGAAGTATATCAACTAATACCAGTGAGATCCTACTTGACCACTATTCCGTACCATGCAAACTTCTTGTGAACCAATTTGATTTTGCTCTTTATTTTTAAAATTTCAAGCCAGAAAGGTAGAGTAAAAATCGTAGATAAGACATACTTATGTGAAAGTCTACGCAGCTCAAATTTTGGAAAAAATAAAAAGTATAAAAATCCTGTAGTCTAAAATATAGAGGTAGTCTAAAATCCTAATCATGCTGGTGTAACAATGAAGGGAAATGTGCACATTCTTGATTGTAACTATGAATAATCAAGAACATTAGTTGTGACTTGTGAAAGTTGTGCCATATACTCGATGTACAGCGTTTTTTGAATTCATTTAACAGTGTTATTCCAAAAATATATAGCACAGTTTACATTACAAAATACAAACAACATCAATAACTCAGTACAATCTCTTTATGCGGGCAAGTACTAACAATCAGTCACGTTTGCAGAGGGACCGTAAAACCGAGCAATAGAGAAAGCAAGAAAAAAAAAAGAGGTCAGTATTGGGTTTACCACCAAATCTCCTCGAACTCCAGCCTCTTCCATGGCTTCCCTTTCTGCTGCCTCATCAGCTGTCTCATCGTTCTCCCATCCACCCTACATAGATCAACAAACAGAGCATGAACACAGTCAATCTTCAAATTTATCACATATTCCACCTCATCAGTCAACCTTTGACAACAGTTCGACTAAGAAACTATAATTTTATCGGCAACTTTATCCTTCTTTGAGAACCTCCCCCCACCCCTCCTAGTTGAAGGGTATAGAATAGTATAAATCAACTTTAAAGGGAATAAAACATGCCCTTAAATGAAGGCAACATCACAATTCATCCGAAAACCTATCAATGTTATACAGTTCGAGACACCAGAAGGGTAATTGGGGAACCAGTAACTATCCTACTTTAAAATAAAATTAAAAAAAAAAAAAAAGTTGAACATGCCATGCATTAATCTAAAAAAAGCGTGTGTCGTTCTAATCCATATTTTACAATCTACTGCTAAATCCAATGACACAATTCTTCACACAGTCCTGAAAACCAATTGAAGTGCATAAGAATGACTGCAACAATCATTCCCTTAAGTCTCAGGCCAACTGAGCTCAACAACACATTAACCTAAAATATCAATCCGAGAGACATTACACAGCCAACTATTATATAAGAATAATGCATGGATACAGCCGAGGATGAGGCTAAGGAAAGAATCTACTTATATGTTTTTTCATCCCTCAGTTTGCAGATTCAAAAATTAAGAGCAGTACAGTGAGATTCAATATTCAAGTTGGGAGGTGCTTGCAAGAATAATTTCATCCATAAGGTAAGAACGGATATTATGTAATATTTTCATCGACAAAAAAAGCATTGTAACCATGTAAAAAGAATCACTAGTCACAAGTCTTACCTTAGGAAATAGAAGACCAGGTCCACTAGTTGAATTGATCATTAGTACTTCAACGATCTTCTCCGATGTCCCACATTCATCATCTTCCACATACGTATATTTGAAGGGAATACACCTGGGATATGAAGCTACTGGTCAGAATTAAAATTAAGATCCATCCTAATATAAATTAGATTCTCATAATCGATGGATCAAAGGTGGATAATGTCAGGACAAATTTCTCTTGTACCTAGTCAAACTTCAAAGTACAAGTATAGTACCAGTTCAAGGAACCGATAGACATTGGTAAGATTTATACTCATCCATGAAGCAACCAAATCAGCACATACAAAAGCCTATTGATATGAAAGAAACTGAAAAAACAAGCATGTGCATCTTAAAAGATTCAGCTAACACAGAATTGATCCAAGTAAAACCTGATAATTTGCACAATTTTACTCTTAAGTTCGTCGAATTATGTTGTAGACACAGCCAAAAAGCACATTAGCCTTACATATGAAAGGACTCTTATATATTGCTAAGGTTGAGAAAGGACAATTAAACAAATCATAAAAGAACGAGATAATTCTTCAGATTTATCGGGCTGGTATCCCAGTTGACAACGTAAAAACAAAACATAGAACCCTTTTTTATGATCTTCTCGTTATTTTCCCTATGAGCGAAACGGAACACTACAAGTGAGAAACGCAAATAAATTCAAATCCAAGCATCTGTTCTTCAAAGAATCAATATCATTAGCCGAAAGACAATACTTCTACAAAACATTATTTCAGAAACAGCAGAAATATAAACAGAAAATGGGAAAATAAAGGGAACCCATTTTCTTCCCTTTTCTCGAATAAAAACTTGAGCAAAAACTTGCACCAAATTGAATCAATTTCACCAAAAACACCTCTGATTTTCCTCCTAATTAGACAAAACCCTGTAACCGAAAACACCGAGAAAAATTGCAATCCAGCCCCCCCCAAACAATTCCAATAAAATCACCAAAAAGCAACTCCTAATTTGCCCACATTCTCCTCATTAGAAAAATCAGGAACAAATCCCTCATGCAACCAAACGCAAACCAACAGGCATCGTATGCATGTAAGCATAACTATACAGAGAGAGAAAAACGAAATAAATAAATACACAAAATACCCAGCAATGAGGCGGTAACCATCCTCGTAGCGCTGCTGATGCCGGCCAGTACGAGCCACCAATTCAGACATTTATTCCAAAAAAACAAAATTTAAACGAAATTCCGAAAATATTTTTCACTCTTCGTGTATGTGTATATATATACACACGAATCAGAGGCGGAAACCCTTTCGATTCATGAAAACGAAGCAATAATCCATCTTAGAACAACAACTCCGAAAATGGGCAAAATATTTCTTCGCATTATTTTCACGCAATCGGTAAAAAGAAAATTAACCGATGGGAGAAAAGCAACAGAATCGGAGCATGTTTTTGGGGAAATAATATTTTTGTTTTTTTTCTTTTTTTTTTTTGGGGAGTCTGCAGTCAATTTTGGTGCCTCTTAATTACAAAAACAGAGTATCAAAAATATAATATATATACAAATTGCAAATTGTTTAATGACGTTTTTACCCTTCCAAAATTGTGGAGGAGTGTGGGTTGGAGGAAGGGTACATTCGTGATTTGAGTTCGTATTGGTGACGTGGCGTGCATGGAGTTTGTCGCCCACATATTTAGAAAGTAGGGTTCATTTATTTTGAAATTTATGGGGCCACGTCATTCCTACTTGGATTACTTTTTTATGTTTAAGATTTTAATTTTATTTTATAATTTATCCTATTTGAAATTTTTCCTCACGTATGATTGGATACAAACGAATAGAGTCAAGTCGAACGCAATTTTTAAAATTGTGATTGAATTTAATATGATAAACAATCAAGTCGAGGTCGAATCGAACACAAATCGAATTTGCTATTTACACATATTTTATCGTTTTATTAATCAAGCTCGAACAACCTTGCTTCATAGTTTATCGAACAAAGGTATGAGTTCAAAGTTTGTTCGTTAAATTAACAAGCCGAACTCCAACAATTGCTCTTAACGAACGACCTTAAATAAAATTGTATTTAAATGATTGATTGTTGTTGTATGACTTGTATTGACATGTCACTCGATCAATTTAATTAATAAGATGTTCGGTTCATGTGATTAGATCTTGTATTAAATTTGTTAAACTTTGGTATTATACGTGATTTTTTTATAAATTTTTTTATTTAATAAGATTAACACATAGTTTAAAGGATAAAATAGTTTTTTTACTTGTTTAATCAACTCCTATTAAACTAATTGTAGATGGAGATGTGCTACTAATTTAATACAGTAGTAGTTCTTAATGGCAACTTTGATTTCAGTAGCAGATTTATATATATATATATATATATATATATATATATATATATATATATATATATGAGATGAAATTTCAATGGTTTTTTTTTTCTCAGACCACTTGATATTATTTAAATTATATATGTGCATGTAGACAATTTGGACTTGAATTTGAATATTGTTTCTAGATTTTGAATTGAACTGTTCCAAACATTAGGGAAAATCATGCTAATAGAGTGAAAGAGCTTCCAACATATCAAATTTGCCCATAAATCATTATTTAATATTTATACGTATTTATTTTGCAAACGAACAAAAAAACCTCAAAATTATTTAAATAAAACAACTTTTTTTTTTTAATATAAATTACTGGAAAGGTGCTGACACTGAAATTTTGAGACAAAATTACTAATTTAATAGCCAAATAAACCGATTATTAATTTGGTTTTCAAATCAAAGTTCATGATATATTTGGATTTTATAAAAGTGTTAAATGATTAATCCAAAAATAAGTACTTCAATCTTTTTTTTATGGGTTAGCTAATTAGCTCAAGTCTCGAGCCTCCACCTCAAATTCATAAACGTATTTGAATTCAAGGTGTTTATATTTTATTCGATTAAAAAAAGAAAGTTTGTAAGCCCTAAAATCGATTTAAGAGAGAAGAATCAGATAAATTCCCGAAAATCGTAATCCGTTTTCATTTTAATTAATAAATTCATTTGTTGAATTGTGTAATAGTCAGTGTTCGACAAACTGTTTCGGAAAATGTATGATAAGACAGCAACATTTGTCCCCACGAGAAGCGCATACATTTTTTTCCACATCATTATAAATAAATAAAAATTATTTTCTTCCGTAAATCGTTTTACGATAAATGTTTTCGTTCTTATATTCACGAAGTGTGCTCGTGCTCGAGCTTTTGTTGGACCCCTCATGAGCTGGTTTAGCTCGTTTGTGCGAATTACATCCCTAATGTAAATAAACGGGACAGTCGTTTTTACCTGTGTTCTCGTTGCTTTCTTCCCCCAAATCTTCAAGAAACATAAAGCAGGCACCATAACTGCCTGAAACAAAGAGCAATAAACGCGCATTATTTACGTACAATATTTCGATGTGTATACTTCTTTTTTCGAAGCAAATACAGACAGACAAAAGGGTCAAACGAGAAATAAGTATCGAACGGAGAAACCTTTCGCGACAAGAGGGTTTTTCCACTAATGGTTAACATCATTACCTAAGAGGACCAAACATTGTAATCTTGCTTTTAAAAAAAATATATATTTCAAGATTTAGATTCCTTTTTGTGGTTTCTCTGTCTGAAAAATCTGTTCTGATGTCTTAATAGATACCAACAAACGATTTTCTTTCGATCTGATTGGTTGATCGGTCTATTCATCCGATATTGCATGTACACTCATCGAAAACGCATTAAGAAATTAGTGGATTACTAATTAGTAATTATACATAAATCTATATATGCTTACCACAAGTATACTTAGAAGGGAACCAGTCAAAGCCATCGCAAGACCTGCAAAAGAGAAAAATCGTGAACAGTTTGTAGATTGAGTGATTTATCTGCAGCCTTTTAAGCTCAATTCGGTTCACTTCTTCGGTACCGTGACAGCTCTTATTGTTTCACCAACTGTTTGGTTGAGGGATCTTCGACTGATAAAAATGTTAAAATCAAGCTCGATTCGCATTCGACTCGGTTAAAGACTGTTCGAGCTCGGTTTGATTTGATTGCTTATCAAACCAAGGTCAAACACAATACCTAAAATTGGGGGGGGGGGGAAAAATTGCAAATAAAACTCGAGGACATGCATTCGGCTCAGCTCGATTAGTTTACACTTCTATACGTGACAAGGGATACTCTTACTATGCCTTTAAAGGAATTTTAATGCAAAAAAGAACACGCAGTTAATTTAAGTTATATAAAAAACGGTACTTACGAGTAACTATGAGGCCACTGGTTGGAAGTGAATGGCGAAGCAGAGGGTGATTTTGGTTAATGCAATTCCGAACCATTATTTCACTAATCATGACACATTCCCCAACCAAACATGGCTCAAGAAAAATCCAATATTCCCGTCATTCCGTGAGTGGTTTGTTCAAGATGAAGGAACACCTTTCCTTCTTTTCTAAGCACTATCAACTCCATTTTATTCATATCGAAGTCAAAATAACGTTACGAAAATCATAATGTACCAAAAGGTGCATACAGAATAACGTCATGGTGATCCAAAATATATAAATTAAAATCGGAATTCTACACCCCAAACAAAGGAAATCTGAGCCTTGTATCGATGGAAATAACTTTTCGTGACAATTTTAGATAAGGTTAATTCCCAACACCTTTTTTTTTTTTATGCAGCAACATGCTAAAACACGCGGTAATTTCTTGGAGCTGTTCTAGGCAGCGGCACAAAGAGTATCTTGATCAAGAACTCAGCAAAATCCCTATAAACAAAAATATTGACAGTAAAAATTATGGCACAAGAAAAAGAAGAAAAAAAATGAGAAACGGGTTCTTGGAGAAGACAATGTCCAACCAAGTTTACATGAGTAGACAATACGCACCAGATCTGTAATCCTTTATTTATATTACGCGATGAGTGTTGATGTTGAGAGGCACGTGACATCATCTATAGAAGAGAACAAAGAACACTTACTTCAATTAATCAGTAAGCCCCCAAAAGAACACAATACAATACTAAAGAAACTTAAGAAACATTCAAATAAAACCGATTCAAAATACTGATTGCTCACCTCCATACCAGCAAAAAGAACTTCTTGCACAGAAGGGTGAAAGCTTAAGATCAATGACCATCAATTTCTAGAAACAGCTCTCTAATACATCTACGACATGCCCACGCCCACGCAAGCAAGCGGTTAGCGAATCTAACCAATCATAAACACCGTTTTCTTCAGGATGACCTCGATCCGCATTAAGAAAAACATGCATACCATCACTAAGTTCAATCCAGCTGCAACCAGGCGATTTCTTCACATCTTGTTGCCTCATCGTATGTCTCAACTCAGCCACCTCTTCATATCTCCCAGCAGCTCCGTAAATATTAGACATCAAAACATAATTCCCACAATGATCCGACCCCACCTCGAGCACCCGCCGCGCTGCCACCTCAGCAAGGTCAGCATTCCCGTGAATTCGACAAGAAGACAAAAACGCCCTCCACACAACTTGATTAGGCTCGATCGACATATTCGATATCAACTCAAAGGCTTCCACGAGCTGCCCTGCTCTGCCAAGCATGTCGATGACACATGCGTAGTGTTCGATAGCTGGAGCAACACCGTATTTCGGTTCCATTTCTTCTAGAAGTTCTTTGCCTTTTATTACAAATCCCGCGTGGCTACACGCTACTAATGCTCCGACGAACGAGATTTCGTCAGGCTTCAATCCACTCTGGCACATACGAGAAAAAAGTTCCAACGCCTCGTTTCCATGCCCATGCAGACCATATCCCATTACCATAATATTCCACGAAGCTGCATCTTTATTTCTCATCCTATCAAATACCAACCGGGCTTCCCTCATACTCCCACATTTTGCATACATGTCCATAATTGCGTTAACTGTGTAAGTATTACCCACCTTGTCTAATCCACTAGTGATCATATAGCCATGGACTTCTCTACCGTGCATCAATGCAGCTAAATGTGAACAAGCAGGAAGTGCGGCAGTAACAGTTACTATATCAGGCTGAAACCCTGAAATAAACATCTGCTTCAAAAGCCTCAAAGTCCCGTCGTGGTCCCCACATTGTTCGTGAACACTAATAATTGAGTTCCATGAATACATGTCCTTCTCAATCATATTCTCGAACACCATTGATGCATCACTAAGTTGCCTGCATTTACCATACATATCGATCAGTGCATTAAGAACCGCTAACCCTGATTCAAATCCTGTTTTGACTGTAAACGCATGAACCGATTTTCCATTGCAAAGCTCCCCAGCCAATGCTAAAGCTGATAATACACCAGTAATAGTGAACCTGTTCGGAACGAGCCCAGTTTCAGCCATCCTTATATAGATCAACAACGCCTTATCAAAATCTCCAATTTGGACATAACCATTAATCATAGCATTCCAAAGAACAATATCATCTATTATAGGCAATTTCTCAAACACTTGTAGTGCATCGTTCATCAGCTCAAATTTTAGGTAAGAATGGATCAATGCACTCCCTATAAACAAATCCAAACCCAGCTCAAGCTTAAACAACAACCCATGAATACTTTTCAAATCCGCAACATTCGAACACGCCTTAATCACACAAGGAAGAGTAAACTTATCAGGGGCTACACCAAACGACCGCATTCTACAGTAAAACTCGAAAGCTTGAGCCGGCAGGTCATTAGCAGTTAATCCGGCTATAATGGAATTATAAACAAACACATTGTGTACATCGGTCGACGAGTTGAAAACGGATACAGCATCGGCGACGGAGTTGCATTTGGAGTACATGTTGATGAGGCTGGTAGCGGAAACAGGGGAAGAGAGATAACCAGTGACGATCATGAACGAGTGGAGCTTTCTTCCCGGTGAAAGTTCTTGGTTTCTGGCGTATGATTGGAGTAATGCGGTGCAGGATTTGAGATTGAGAAGTGGGGTCAATTTGGAAGAGGAAGAAGAGAATTTGCGGGGGAAACAGATACGGATTTTGCGTGGTTTTAGTGACGAGAACATATTTCTGTTCGCAAAAGCAAAATTGTTTTTGCGACTCGCCGGAGAAATTGGTATTATCCGCCGAGTACGGCGAGGAGAGAGATTAGAGAGAGAAGCGGGAGAGAGAGAGAGAGAGAGAGAGAGAGGATAATTGGGCCTGTTCATTAAGCCCATTTAAAATGCTACACACTCTGAGCCCATATTCACACACTTGGGTTAAATTACGGCCAACCCCTTGAAGTATGCTCAAATTACGAAAATACCTCTCCTTATTTTTCCATAATTACATCCATCCTATACAGTTTGTTGGTTTCTTACATTAACTGACTTTTGTAGGTGAACTGGATGCGTAATTTCTCAAAACTAAGGGGTGTTTTTTTTTTTTTTTTTTTTTCATAATTTCACTTTCGTGGGGGAGGTGATTGTAATTTATACCCTATTGTAATTGTTATAATAGAAGAAGGGAGCCGCTAAAACAAATACCGATTTTTTTCTCACTTCAATACCACCAACATAAAAAATAAAAAATAAATACATTTTAAATAGGTAATGATTTTATTAACCTTAATGAAAATCAACACCACACACAAAATTTGTGTGGTATTGATTTTATTAAGAGTATCAATATCATTATATATTTATTTTCTATTTCTTATATTGGTGGTTTTGAATTAAGAAAAAAAACGGTATTAGTTTTAGCCGTTTCCCATAGAAGAATAGAAGAAAAACTAAGTTTCAATTAGCTAAAAGCCAAACAATTTTATTATATGAATATATAAAAGATACATTATTGAATAACGTAACCAACCCATTCTCTTTATATAGAGATACGAAAAGACTCCTAACTAGCAAAGACGTGACAAAAATCTCCTAAGATACACATAATGTAATAGATAACCTAATCTAAGACGAATATACGTATTTATAATATTCAAACACTCCCCCTCAAGCTGGAACAAGACATGTAGATCAACGGCGAACAGACGACGGACAGCATTCCAGCAACAAACAAACAAACAAGTCGCACTCCACCGACAAACGGTACATTGGGACGACGGTCTTCGTATTCGAACGTCAGATGATCATTGCGATCGATGCCGATAGTCATATTAGGGAAGAACATCGACGATAATACCAAAAGCCATGGTACCGATAGACAAATATAAAACCACAGAGCCATTAACATAATGTATGTCATTGTCGATAGACAAATAACGGATTAATAACGGAAAATTAACGGAAAAATAACGGGGAAAACTCTAAATTGTAATAGCAAAACCCTAGATGATCAATAGTTGCTCGGCAATTAGATACATATATATATAGTTATAAAATATTGAAGCTAATTCTCTTTATATATAGAGATGAAAAAAGACTCCAAATTAGAATATAATTAGTTGACCTAGTAAAATTAGAATCCTAATCTAATATTTAATTCGTAATTGTATTCTATTTACTAGAACTATAATCCTAATCTAATATTAATTCATAATTAAATTCTAACACTAGTCTTCAGAATCCACATATATGTTAATTATACTAAGCCGTCCAAACAAGACGTCCATTGGAGAGAGAGAGTGCAATTTCTTTCAATATGTTGACTTTGACTTTTTCAATTTTACTTTTTTTTTATAATGAAAAAATCTCTAATGTTTGGTTAATTACAATCAGCCCCTTCAACAATTAATTTTATTACACGTCCATTCTTGCGGTGTTAAATTTAGTGGAATCTTCTAGATTTTGTAGAATATTCTCCAATTCGTACTCGTTTTACCTCATTCGAACTCCACATTTTGAAACAAGATGATCATCAGATGTGTCTCTTGACTTGTAAATATCAGATTGTGGCACATCAGGAACTGCATTTTTGCACAAAACGAGTAGAATTTAAAGAACATTCCACGAAATTTAGAAATTTTTGTTAAATTTGACACCATAAGATGTACGCATAAGAAGATTCAAAGTTGAAGGGACGATTGTAATTACATAAATAAGAGGGGGTTTCGCAATTTGACCTTACTTTAGGAGTTCACCGTAATTTACCGTATATTTTCTATGTATAGAACTTAAGTCCGCATAGTTATCCAAATGTCAAAAAGCTGGCTCATGAAATATGCGGTTTAAGCGGTGGACGAACGAACAGGTCTTTCATCTAATTACATTTTGGCCCCTCACATTTTTGTTTTGGTTATTACGTGCATGTGCATGAACTAACCTCTGTGTTCTTGCTGTCAGAAACCAATCATTGTCCGAATACAATCCCAGTCAGATTTTCTCTTTCCCCATTTCGACCACTACTTGCCACGTGTCCTAATAAATAAAAAAATTCATCATTTGTTGTCTTTTTCGGTTTTTCTAATCCAAGAAAATGTAGGAGAAACGGGGAACAACTATGCCCAAAAAAGAAATTATTTTTGTTCGGCTTAGGTTGTTTTCTATTTGGAGAGGAGAGAGAGAGAAATAAAGAGAAGAGAGAGAAAAAAAAAGATCGGTAACACTAACTCCATTTTCCATTTCTGAATCCTCAAAAAAAAAAAAAAACAAATTTGCATGGCTGAGCTATGCAAATACAGATCAAAGAAGAAGAAAAGTCAACGGCAAGAAAACGACAAAAGGTAGTTATTAACCGACAACCAATCATCAACAACCACCCATTATGAAGGCTTGGGAGGCGACGGTCCGGAAAACACAGGCGGCGGCGAAGAAACGAGCCAACACGATCTTCGGCACGTCCTACGCCGTCGATCCAAACATAGTCGCCGGCGCCGGCGCCGGCGAAGGAGAAGAGGAGAACGAGTCCGACCACCACCCGAACCATGAGGAAGACGAGTTCCACGCGAGCGGCGAGGTCTACCACGCGGAGAGGTTTCTCCCGAACGGAGATTACTACACCGGCTACTGGGCGGACAACTTCCCCCACGGCCAGGGTAAATACTGGTGGACCGACGGCTGCATGTACGTCGGAGAATGGTTCCGCGGCAAGAGCATGGGGAGGGGGATCTTCAGCTGGCCTTCCGGCGCAATGTACGAGGGCAATTTCAAGAGCGGCTTCATGGACGGAGAAGGCACCTACACCGGCGCCATCGGCGGCACCTACCGCGGCGCGTGGGTTATGAACCTCAAGCACGGCCACGGCGTGAAGGAGTACGTCAACGGCGACTCGTACGAGGGCGACTGGAGCCGCGGCTCCCAGGAGGGGCAAGGCAAGTACCAATGGAAGAACGGCAACCACTACGTCGGCGAATGGAAAAACGGTAAGATATGCGGCCACGGGACGATGCATTGGACGAACGGCAACGTTTACGAGGGTAATTGGGAGGACGGCCTCCCGAAGGGGAACGGTACTTTCAAATGGCCCGACGGTAGCTTCTACGTCGGGCACTGGAGCAGCGACCCCGGCGAGCAGAACGGGACGTACTACCCGTCGGGGTCGCTGCTCGAGGGCGGGAACCTCGAGTGGGACCCGCAGGAGGTTTTCAGTAAAGATCTGAAGGAATGCAAAGTGTGCGCGACGGAGAAGGTTCCGATCTGGCCGTCGCAGAAGAAACTGGCTGTCTGGAGGTCGTCTAAAGGGTCGGATCCCAGCGTCAGGCCGAGGAGGATGTCGGTCGACGGCAGGATCGATGCGGGCGTGGATAAGGATCTGGGCGGCATGCGGTTGTCCGACGGTGCCGCCCCTTCGCCCTGGAACGTCAGTGCCGTCGACAGGGCGGGGAACGAGGGGGACGATGTTTTCGTCGGGTTGCAATGTGAGGGTATGATGAATCTTAGGGGGACACCATTGAGGATACCTAAGATGGTTAAGAGGCAAGGGGAGACTATCTCTAAAGGCCATAGGAATTATGATCTCATGCTCAATTTGCAATTGGGGATTAGGTATATTAATTATATATTTTCTGTTTTTTTTTTTAGCGTTTTGCTCGATCCAAACGGAGACTTATTGTTATCGAAACTTGAAATCTTCATTTTGTTGTCTGCATGGGATGGACAGGCATTCGGTAGGAAGACCAGGGCCGCCTCCGTCGCTTGATCTAAAGCCATCGGCTTTCGATCCAAAGGAGAAATTTTGGACGAAATTTCCGCCCGAGGGTTCGAAAATCACTCCACCTCATCAATCGTGTGAATTTAAATGGAAGGACTACTGTCCCAAAGTGTTCCGGTTAGACCCTTTTTTTCTCTCGTGCAACGATGACTTCGTTTTTTTATTTTATTTTATTTTTATCGCATGTTTCTTGAATTTCGAAGAAAAAAAATTCGAAAAAATAAATGTCGATGCAGGACACTTAGGATGTTGTTCAAGGTTGATGCAGCAGATTACATGCTGTCCATATGTGGTAATGATGCTTTAAGAGAACTTTCGTCTCCCGGTAAAAGCGGAAGCTTCTTTTACTTGACTAACGATGACCGTTACATGATCAAGACCATGAAAAAAGCCGAAGTAAAAGTGAGATTTCGACATTTTTTTTTTTTGCCAATACATAATTAACTATGTCATAATAAAAAAAATCATTTTTTTCGTCCCGTTTTCAGGTGCTTCTGAGGATGCTAAACGCGTACTACAATCACGTTCGAGCATTCGAGAACACTCTAGTGACTAAATACTATGGACTTCACTGTGTTAAGTTGAATGGACAGAAGGTATATATAATATATATGTTTTCAAATGATGGATTTTGTGTCTTAATTAATTATTTTCAAAATGATTTAAGTAATTAAATGGGGTTTAATTTTGTTGCATGGTTTATTTTAGGTGAGGTTCATAATCATGGGAAACCTATTCTGCTCAGAATATATGATCCACAGAAGATATGATTTGAAAGGATCAACTTTCGGTAGATTAACCGACAAACCAGAATCCGAAATCGACGCAAATACGACACTCAAAGATCTCGATCTCAACTTCATTTTCCGACTTCAAAAGACATGGTTTCAAGAATTTCGAAGGTAATTGTAATAATTCCACATTTTCTAGTTATTACATTTCATTTTTCAGACAATAATCACATGTTTTTTTTTTTTTTTAATTTAATTTCATTACAGACAAGTTGATAGGGACTGTGAGTTTCTTGAACAAGAGAGAATTATGGACTACAGCCTTTTGGTTGGCCTTCATTTCATGGAAGCATCGAACGATGATATTACCCCGTCCGGTTCCGTAACGCCTATCGGTAATTAATTTCTTAATAAACATTAAAATTTTCGATAAATTTCAAGAAAAAGAACTTAAAAACAGTTGCATCTTTTTTCAGACAACGGTGGCTCAGACGAAGCAGTTCCTCGTTTATCCAGAGCCGATGTAGACCAGTTGCTTCTAGACCCTGCAGGGTAAGTATAGTGGTTAGGGGGGGAGCACGGCCCCCCAACGTTTCTCGAAAATCTAATATTTTAATTTTTCTTGTTTTGATATGAAGGTGGGCAAGCATAAGATTGGGAATCAACATGCCGGCGAGAGTTGAAAGAACAGAGAGAAACAACGATGCCGCGGAGTTTCAGTTAGTAGGAGAGCCGACGGGCGAATACTATGATGTAATATTGTTCTTTGGGATAATAGACATTCTTCAAGATTACGATATTACCAAGAAACTCGAACATGCATACAAGTCTATACAGTACGACCCTAACTCCATATCGGCCGTTGATCCGAAGCAGTATTCGAGGCGCTTTCGTGACTATGTATTGAAAGCTTTTGCAGAAGATACATGAAAAATATATATACATATATATATACTTTTGGACAGCTTCTTTTTTAATTATGAGGATTTGATTGGCAGAGGTTAAGGCAGGATTCGGTCTTCCTCTTCCTCGTGTGTAATTCTTTTCGTTCTTTATGCATATATTGTTCGTTCTTTTTTTTTCGTTTTACAGATTTTGCCACAGGGCACGATTTCAGGGTTGTAATTTTTCTTTCGACACTTTTTTTTTTCTGTTTGTAAAAACTTGCAGTCTAGATGAATAAACTGCAAACATTCGAATACCACAGCTTGTAACGGTTTTTTCGTTTCTCTGTTAATGTCGGATCTTATTCCCAATCGAAATCATTCTTCTCGAGATTCGTTTATGGTAGACACTTAAAAAGAAACATATGATACATAAAAGAAGCCGTATTCGATATGCAAATAGAATCAAACGATTGAATCGATCACCAATCATCTGATATTCCCAGCCAGAATGCTCTAAATTGACTAAAACTATATATATTTATTTCCCGTAAAACGAATTCAACAAGAGCCCGCTTCATCAATTGCGGAAATACAGTTCAAACATTTAACCAAGGAAAGAGAGTAAGCAAAGCATCATCACAATTGCAAATCCAAATAACAAACAAAATCCAACGTACTACAGACCCAAACATTCAACCTCCGAATTTAACGTCTCGATTTTGGAGAAAAAGAAAAACTAAAACAAAACCATGAAAGTCGAAATACAAAGCGTTCACAGACGCCTACTTATTAAAATAACCACCACCATAACACATTTCACGTTTTCAAACTGAAACGAAATACATTGACCTTTCAAACTTATCGTCATCGGATAAAATATACCACCACCAGCCACTGGAATTTCTTGAGGTTCTTTTAATTCCACCGAGACATCCAAAAACAACAGCCACCATAAATCCAGTATCCATGAAGTCTTCACCAAACTGATTCAACCAGACAAAATATTCAAGTAATTCACCTATTGATACAATAAGCTCCTTTTAATCGATCCAGAAAGCTCGACACAAGCTGCTCCATGGAAGACATAACAAGAAATTAATAGATGGAAACCTAAAACCCAAAATTATATAAACATATATCGGTACTTTGTTCAGACATGTATATAAACAATGCAGGAATCAAAATTCAATTTACTTTTACAAATAATTCGTGTCCCTCAGAAAATAAGCTATGGTTGTGGTCGGATATTGGAGCTTAAACCATATTAGATCGTTGCAACAAATATAAATTGTGCAGTTTTATGGTCGTTGGTATAGCAAAGACCACATGTGTGTGTGTGTGTATATATATATATATATATACATAGAAAGAGAGAGAGAGAGAGAGAGAGAGAGAGAGAGAGAGAGAGAGAGAGAGAGAGAGACCTGTTGAACAGCATGTGCCTGCTACACTCTCACCATGTCCAAAAAAGAACTTCATTAAGTTGCCCATTCTGCAAAGTTGATGGATGAAATAATAGCTCCCGGCCATAGAAATTTGCACCGGTGAATCGGTCACGACCTAATCCACGAAAAAAGTAAAAAGAACAATAGGTTAATAGATTGATCAGATATTCAGATGACATCATCAACTCACATTAAAATTGAGCAATAAGAAAACGAAGAACAGGGAGAAGCTAGTTTTACCATCTATGAATCCATCAATCATCTCACACAAAGAAACGACCTTCCCCAGGAGACTGTACATGATACTGCAGTGGAAGCCCGACAGGTTGTTGATTTCCTTTCTGGTTTTCACCTTGGACTTGCAACGATGAGATTTGCTTCCCAGGGAAAGGGAAGTTTGCTATCCCCACTGACCCGTTACTACTGTTCACATCATAAAATGTAGGCCCCACTTGATTAATGGAATCACGGAACCCAACACTTTGGTTCAAAGATGACAACTGATATCCATCTAACCAGCTGTAGTTATCCATTTGTGGAACTGGAGTAAAGGCCATCTTCGATGACTCGTCCACACCCTTTAAAGGAATAGAACCAAAGCCAGGTGGTGGGCCCAGGTATCTGACTGGTCGGCTCACTGGATTCTTCTTGAAGCCTGGTGGCATGATGGAAGACGGGTTCACATGCAGGCCATCAGAAGATGCTCTCGAGGACATAATGGAGTCAAACTTTGACGACACGGAAGCTTCTGAAATATGATTGGAGAAATTATTATAGCCAGAAAAAGTGTTGACAAACTTTGGGTATGGCAGAGAAAGAGCAGCAGGCTGAGAAACTTCAAACTGGTCCTGCAGCTCAGATTTCAGCGAAGAACCGTTTTCCATCAAATTCAAGTGAGCCAAACCATTCAAATTTGGAGCTTGTTCTACTGGCCACTTTGACATATTGGGTTCGACTGGAAGCAGATACTGAGAAGTAGCACTAGCAACAGTTGCCGATGGTCTAGCGTTTACTTTGCTCTGAAAGAGTAAACTATCATTCACAACAGAGGACACATTTCCCTTCACATTGTCAATCTTGCCAGACACACGAACAGTAGGAAGAACCTCTGCGGAAGTCAAATTTGAAGAGAATTCATCCACATGCCTCTCGTTCATCGACGGCCTAAAAACAATCACCTCGTCCTCATCCTCTTCATCAGCTCCCACACCCACCTCTTGCTTTATAGCATGACCACCCCCAACTGAAATGCCCACCGAGCTACTATTTGAGTTGGGCTCCAAAGGACGGGTGAGCAGATAATCATCAGAAATTTGAGGCTCAATGCCGATGACAAATTTATTCAACTTCGAGTCAAAATAGACTCCCTCCTGCCCTAGTTGGACGCCATTGGCAAGAGCCTTTCCAGCTGCAATAATTCTCCGCATGCGAGCAATTTTCTCTTTGTTGCCTCCAATCCCATCACCACCAAAAGTATGCTTCCGTGAAAAGTCAAGGATAAGCTGGGCAGGAAGAAGAGGAAGAAATCCTCTCAATTCGAAGTCCTCAGATAATGCAAGACGGTTAGCGGTCTCACTCTCGTCATACTTGCTCGTATTAGAGGAAAATGCCTCCTCTTCACGCTGATTAACAAAAATATATCTGTTTGATAAGAGCTTATTAAGTAACAAGATACATTTGTTCCAGAAAAAAGATCTTGCATTTTGCTGTTTCTCCTCCAGTTCACGGTTAACTGCAACATCAGGGCGACAAGCCAACCACTCAACAAAAACCATAATCCCAGGCAACAAATAACTCGACGAGGGATCTTTTAACCGGTTACACCGTTCAAGGATGCAGCCCATAAACTCAAAGGTGCTAGTAAGAGCATTTTGAAGCACCACTGAACGCTGTACAATTTCAGCATATGATTGGTTTCCATTCTCGTTCGCATCATGCACCGTAAATATTAGAATCGCAATCATCCTAATAATTGCAAGTCTACACTCAGAAGTATCTGAACCAAAGTTCAAGTCCTCGTCTTGCCCAGAAGAAAGCAGTCCTAATAAATCATTTTTAACCGTTGAAAACACGTCGGGGAGAGTTTCCAGGCTGGGATCACAGCAAAGAAACAAGTATTAGCTAAACAATTATTTTTGAAGTCACATTACACTGCATACTCTTGAGAGTTCAGAACAAACCTTGTGCGAGTAAAGAGAACGCCATTCAGCCTAACAAATCGCGTTATGAAAGCTTTGAAGAGCTCAGAGTGATCTGAAGTTCTCTCCTTAACTGCAACATTTTCCAGTCCAACATCTTTGGAAGGGGTCCTTGCTCCACCTTTGCCTCTGCCTTTCCCAGGCGCCTTTTGAGATATCGTCTTCGCTACGGTAGATCTACCATCACCAACTAGTTCGATATACTTCTCACGATTCTGCAAATAGAAGAAAAATCCGGTGAAAAAAATCCTGAATCTGTCGATAACGTAGATATTGCAAATTGAGAGGTGCCATGCTTTTGAATCTACTTCCTTGCACATTATGTTCCCAAATACTATAGCTTATTTTCTTAAACAAACCAAGCTGCAGGCTGCTAGGAATTAAAAAATTCGAATGTATTTGAAAAATTGATATATTGCAGCAAGAAACGGCAAAATGCTATGAATGGAAGGAAATGTTGCTTAAATAAGTAGTATTTATTGCAGTTTACACGTATATGAAAAGAGTACTTGCAGTTGACAGGATGAAATCTATTTTCAGATTGTGAAAACCAGCTTGAAATTTCACTTGCTGAATTTATACTATATCTATAATTTTGTGGATCTAACCACCAGCCAAAAGTGGTTCTAGTGATTATGACCAACCAGGGTAGTTAAACTATGTCGCAAATGCTAAAATAATATACTCTAGGATACAAGAATAACCTATATGCAACTCAACTTACCTTCTCAAATGCAAGGACCAAATTGTCTCTTGCAGTAACGAAAGGGTTATCAATTGCTAGACTTCGAAAATAGCGATATATAGACACCAGTTCATCACTCGAATATCCAGCCAGTATAGCAAGCTGAAAGTCACAAATGATAACTTCAAATTAGATAAGAAATTAGCGATAAATTACTTCAGAAAGGAGGCATATGGGACTCAAAACTTAAGAAAAAGAGTAAACCAAAACGAAAAATTGATATTAGATCACCTGATGGTGTGGATTGCCGTTTGAGGAACAGAATGAAGAAGCTTGCATATAGTAACTAGATGCAGCCGCAAAATCCCGAGCTTTTGAGTCTCCTTCCCCATACAAGCCTTTATAACGAGCAAGATCCCCCAAATAAATCAAACAACGGTGACAGGATATCAAGCATTTTTTCACCTCAGAGAGTTTACTTCCATCTTTTGACATGGTTATCTGATTATCTGCATCATCAGAAGAATACCCTAATGGCAAACCATACTTAGCTTTTATCTTCAACATTAAATCGTGATAAAATCCAGTTGACTCAGAAAGAAAAGTCTTCAGCTGCGAACGGATCTTTGCGATTCGATCAGGTCCAGAACGAACTGGACCTTTCCCATTCTGGGCTGCAGCTGATTTTGCTGAAGCCAAAGAGGCATTGAAGAGAGCCCTAAGCTCCTCAATTCTCCTATAATGCAGTTGCCACAAAGCATATTCTATTTCGTGTTGCTCAGAGAAGGCGTGGTCTTCAAGGACAATTGCTTCATAGTTTTCACGCATCTGTTGCCATGTACTAGGATCAGAAGGGATTCTGGCCTGTGCAGCTTTCCTTCGCTTGTTCTCCAACTCAACATTCTGCAGTGAAAATCAAGAAGTTAGTCATACCCATAACACATGTATTTTGAAGAAGATGCCAAATTAATCGTTTAAAAAATGAGCAACTACATTAAACAAGATAATTGCAGTTCTTTAAAAGATATTCAGCTACAGTGAGATATTTCCTATAAATTGTGTGTCGTTGTGTTCCAGAGAAGTGGTCTTTCATAGAAATTACGTAATAGAAAGATTCAGATACACAATCAACAGAAACTGAACTTGGGCAAAGGTACAACAACACATGCATACCTTACTGAATAGACGCTGAGCAAGCTCCTTTGAAGAGTTTTCTTTGTTATTCTCCATAGGAATGGCCATCATCCATTAAATAAATGATTGCCAACAGTAAGTTCGAGATATGCAACTTCAGTAGAGAAAGACACCATAAAATCCACAATTGCCTGCTGCATATAAGTGTAATTACAAATTATTAACTGAGGCTACAACTCTCAAAGATCGACCCTTGACACCAGCCACAAACACACTTCAAATCTGGCCCATCTCACAAATGAATATTGTTAAATGCTAATTAAATGTCAAAAGAATGAAGCCAAAGCTCTTATCAATAATCCAATCAAAAAATTCCGAATGTTCAACACCGGCAATCTAGCAATTCTTATAGCTCAAGTTTCACTTCAGAGCGCATGATATAATGCACACATACTACAAGCATAACATAACAACAGAAGAAAATCTAAACCTCTGCCATATGGCAGATTGGTTTAATGAGCTCTTGTATCGATTTGTAAACACCATAAATTGATTTAGAAACATGTTAGTCATGCAAAAGGCCATAATAAAGAGAGTACTACTACAACTGTCTACTAACAAAGAGTTATACCTTGAAAAAAACCAATAGTACAAATTCGCCAGTTCTAAATATGGGATTTTATCAAAAGAAAACAATTGATGCGAGGGTTTTACTTCTTATCATACCGAACTTGGATAAAGAGAGAAACTTCCCAAAATTTAAGCATTTCAAATCCCTAAAAACCAATCAAGGTCACCTATTAATGTATCTTCAAAAACCTAACATAAGAAAGAACCCATTCAAATAGCTTCCAACTAATAGAAGAAAAAAAAACACAGAAACTCAACTAAATTGATGAATCCCGGAAAATCAGTTATAAACCCTAAAATCAGCTATAAACCCTAAAGAAAACCCAATTCCGAAATTGAGTTAAATTACACCCATGTCCGTCAAAAATAAACAATAATCAAAACAAAACAAAAAAGGCGTGAATTCGCAAAAAGAAACTTACCCTCACCCCAAATTCACCACCAGATCGGCCAAAATTCCCCAAATTGAGCAAGTTTCTGTATAATTCACGAACACGCCGATGACGAAAGGCTTAATTGCGATGAGAGGCTCCAATGATTTTTGATAAATTGTTAGGGTTTTTGGGAGCAATTAGTATTCAAGAATAAAAGGAAAAGAGGTGAATTTTTGAGATAGAGAGAGAGAGAGAGAGAGACGACTTTGGTTTTCCTTTTATTTTTCTTTTCTTTTTTGGTATATATAATAATATAAAATATTAATATTAGGCGGCTATAACTATGGGCCAGATATTTATTTCAGTATTTATTAATTAATTCATGCAATCATAAATTTATTAACTACTTATTGAGTTTGTTTAATTAATCAGGTATTTATTATCAATAAATATTCACTAGAAGAAAAAAAAAAAAAAAAAACCTCCTTTAAAGGTACGGTCAGTTTTAATTCGAAGAAAATAGGAACTGAATTTTCGAAATCCATCGATTTTAGTTCGACGGATTCTGTTTATGGAACCGTATTTTCATTCCGATATCCAAATGGGTGTGAGCGAGCCAAGCCCAAGTTCGAGCTCATCGAATTTTTTATTTTTTCGAGCCCAATCTCATTTTATATTTTTTAATTAATTGTTTATTATTAAAAATTATTTATATTATATCAAAAAAATATTCAAAATAAATAATGAACTGTAATTATATTTTATTTAATGAATGCTCGTGAGCCGACTCGTAAATTCACAAACTACTAAAAAAAACTCGAGCTTTTTTCGAGTCGGTCCATCGAGCTCGCGTATGAATTTGGGCCAAATTCTTCGTTTTAATTAACCAGTCTCAATTGAATAAGGCCCAATTTACCAGCAGTTTGAACTTGGGCCAAATACTTATTTAAATTATTATAAATATTTCAGCCTATAAGTTATTATACACATAATATTTAGGGTTAAATACAAAAACACCCCTATACTATGAACTTTGTATCATATAGCCCCCTGTACTACACATAAATACAAAAACCCCCCTCATATTACATTTTTTCCAAAATATGACGAAAATACCCCTACTCAAGCATATATATAATATGTTTGAGCCATTTTTCACTATATATTTTACCAATTTTAGTCAATTTTACATGGGAAATTTTGGTATATATATTTTTTTCTCCAAAACATCTAATTGCTTAGATTTTTTAATTTTTTTGAATAAAACCTTTTATTTTTGTCATTTTGAGTTTCTTCATTTTTTTTCATCTTAAATGTCTCCGGTAATTCAAACATCCTAAGATTGCAAACATCCTAAGATTGCAAACATCCTAAGATTGCAAACATCTTTACAATCCTATGATTGTTGCAAATTTAAGCTACCGGAAGTCATTTAAGAAAAAAATGAAGAAATTCAAAATGACAAAAATAAAAGGTTTTATTCAGAAAAAAAAAATCGAAGTAATTAAATGTTTTGGAGAAAAAATAAAAATATCAAAAATTCCCAATTAAAATTGACCGAAAATGTTAAAAAATATAGTGTAAAATGTCTCAAACAAAACCTTATATTTATAGGAGCCAGCAGGGGTATTTTCGTCAAATTTTGAAAAAAATATAACACCAGAATGGGTTTTATATTTATGTGAAGTACAGGGGGTATATTGTACAAAGTCCATAGTACATTGGTGTTTTTTATTTCACCCTAATATTTACAAGTTACTAGTCTTGCAACTAATCATAATTACAGATTTTTCATACAGCTACCGAATATTCCAAATTTCCAATTGACCAATCATATCAATGTCAGTATATCATGAAATTAAATAGACCAACTTTTTAATTTTTTTTAATAAATGAAGTAAATCATTTACCTAATCAAAATTCCCCTTTTGAGATTACTAATTAATGACTATCAAAAAGTCATAACTCTAATCAACCAGAAATTAATTAGTATCGAAATAGTTTAATTTTAGGTCAATTGTTTGATAGTTTGATGACATAAAAGCTAAATCAACTTTTGGGAGTATCTTAAATAATTGATTAAATAATTAAATAATTGATTAAACAATTAAATAAATTGATTGAATCTTATGTGTTGCCATCAATGTTAGATAAGCATACGCATCAAGTGATGCAGGCCAACTATAATTTTATATACTTAATTAATTTCAAAAAAACAAAATCCCCAAGTTGCTAATTATTTATATTATTTCTTGATTAATTACACCTAATTAATTGAATTATTTTGCAAATTGGTGGGTTTGGAGTATACTTTTATGTATGATGACTAGAAAGTTTAGTCGACATTTCATTAAAAAAACATTTATAAAAATATTAATTTACTTTGGTTCTTTTTTATATATAATTAACTTATTCAATTTATTTTATAAATAGCCACTTTCTATTAAAATATATTAAATGGCGGCCGTTATATGCAAGCCCATTTTTTTATTAGTTCAAACCCACATAAAAAGATTTATTAGTTCAAACCCCTAAACTAGTTTATTTTTATTACATCAAGACCAAAGAGGACGTATATACCCTTATCCACAAATTATACCTATATACAAATAAACCCTATTTTTTATTTGTACAAGACCAAAAAATAAAAAAACTCAAAAGAAATAAAAAAGAGAATACGAAAAAAGAATACGAAAAAAGAATACGACAGGCACACGACCACCGCAGAAGACCGTTGCACGACCACCGCACAAGACTGCCGCACGACCACCACTAGACCGCCGTCGACGATCAGCAAGCCACCACCACCAAACCATCTCCACCGCACCATCACCATCACCCCACCACCACCAACAAGTCTTTTTTACTAAACTTTTGTTTGTCAATTCAAAAATATTAATCGAGCATCGATTCTTGATAAATATACGTGGATGAACATTAATCTATGCTTACTTCTTGTTGGGTTGCAATGCTTTAGCCGATTTTGGAAAAAAAATTGAGATTGAAATTGATTTTTTTGTGTGTTTTCATTGTTTTCCCAAATCGGTTTATCCAGACCGATTTTGTACACGAAAATCGGCGTCACAATACCGATTTTTGTTAACAAAATCGGCGACACAACGCCGACTTCACAAGTCAAAATCGGCGTTGTAACGCCGATTTTTTTTTTTTATGATTTTTGTTTTTTATTTGGTTTTGAATTTCATTAAGGATAAATTAGTATTTTTATGTTGGAGGTCTTGAACTAATAAAAAAATGGGCTTGCATATATCCGCCGCCATATTAAATATATATAAACATTGGTTTACTATTTATTTATTATTGTTTTATCTATTAACATTAGACATGTATTATTAAATAAATACGGATAAACCATCGAGCCCGACCACCTAACACAAAGTTTCTATTGTTGTTATTTGATTATTATTTTATTATTATTTAATTACTAATATCATATCACGATCCACACTAGTTCATAATATAGTATACATTTTTTTTTTTTTTTTTTTGAGATGATAATATAGTATACATTTAAATGTAAGTTACATCTAACTATTTTTTGTAGATTTGACCTTAATATTTTACTACTACAAAGATTCCAAAACTAGGTTACATTACTATATATTCAAACCAGAACATATGATACAGTTAAACTTCTATTAATTAGTATAGTCGAAATTAATAAAATTCTACTAATTAAGTAAAATATTAAATTATAAAACTAATATTTTAGTAAGTTTTTATGAAGTTTGGACAAAAATAATGTATTATTTAAGTGAAGTTATTAATTTATTAAGGTTCAACTGTATTTCGCAAATATGATTCCAAATTACACTCAAATACTTCATTTATTTTCAATACTACAAACATATATAACAACTATTAAACAAAAAAAAAATGAAATATAAAATAATTAAAACCTCTTAAATTCTTGCATGAATTTTCATAGTTACAATAGAAATAAATATTTTTTATTTGAGACCAAAGGATTTTTATTTATGAAAAATGAAACAAAACAATATAAAATAGGAAATATTACAGTTTTCATCCCTCAATTTTGCACTGATTATGCATTTGGTCCCCCAATATTTACAAAAAAGTACTTTTGGTCCCTCATGTTTCAATAATTTAACAGTTTTGGTCATTTTCGTCTGTTTATCGTTCGTCCGTCAGTTAAGGCAGTGATGAGCACACGAATTGACGAAATGGACTAACAATGTTGAATTTTCTAAATGGACTAAATGAGTTTTTTCGTGAACATGGAGGACCAAATGTGGAAACAATGCAAACCTGAGGGATTAAAACTACAATTTTTTCCATATAAAATATAATAAAAAATGACCTTTGGTCACTACATAAGGTCAAAACTAAGAGAGAGAGAGAAGAGAGAGGAGAGAGAAAGTTAGAGAGAGAGAGAGAGCACCATAATAACAACACATTGGAGCCCAAACACAGAACAAAAGGCGAAAACAAAAACATCATCAGCATAATCGAAAAAAAGCAAACGCCAAGAATTGAAATTGGAGGCGGGTGGCTATTAACGTTCGATTCTTTTATCTCCAAAAAAAATCCAATTTTTTTCCCAATTTATTTTCCCCCATTTCAACTCATTGCCACACACACTTCTCCCACAATCCACAGACACACAATACCTCTCTCTCCCTCTCTCTCTCTCTCTCTCTCTCTCTCTCTCTCTCTCTGCAGAGAGAACACAGAGAACACACACTGTGAAACCCGTATGTATATACAACAAACTGTGCGTGCGTACGGCGTAGTCTGAAAGGTTGATGAAAAGATGTCTCTACACTCAGCGAGCCACGTGGTGCAGTCTGTGAAGCTGTTCGCCGGGAACCCGATTAACGATAGTTGTAAGAAGGACTTGGTTTTCGTCGATTTCGTTGGGCTCTGCGCCGGTAAGAAATCCAAGAAGAGCAGCGGCGGCGGCCGCCGGAGGGTTGGGAGTGTAAATAGTAGGAGGAATCATTTTCTTGGTTTGGCGGCTTCGAACAAGAACTGGGCTTCCTCCATTCAGTCTGTTCTTGATCTTGAACGTGTTACCAATGCCTCAACCAAACAGTCTTCTGATCTCAAACCAAAGGTGGGGTTGACTCTCTCTTTCTCTCTCTTCTTTCTCTGTGTGTGTGTGTGTGTGTCAGTGTGTGCGTGTGTGTTTTGTTCTTATTTGAATTAGTGGAGAGCTCATTTTTGGTGTTTCTTGAAATGGGAATGTGTGTGTGTGTGTGTGTTCTTGTTTGAATTCTGGGAAATATGGTTGTTGATGTTTCTTGAAATTCTTGAAATGGGAATATGGGGATGTGTTTGTAACTAATAAAGTTTTCTTGTTCTTTTGGATACGATGATTTTTCGTTACTCGGTCTAATTATTATTATGTGTTCATCGCGATAATACTCGAAGAACTGTGTGAATTCTCTCACTCCAAGTGATTCCAATAAGCTCATGCATTGGCATTTCTGGTGTTGGTCGGCATATCAAAATCGAGCAATTTCTTATTTTAAACTTTGGACTCCACAGATTGTTCGATTATTTATGCAATATCTACTTTTTTTTTTCTCAGGCTGCAAACTTGGCGGATATACTAGCGGAAAAAGGCGAATGCGGGGTTGGGTTCATAGCTAATTTGGACAACAAAGCATCCTATGGAATCGTTAAGGATGCCCTTAAAGCACTCGGCTGCATGGAACACCGTGGAGGTTGTGGAGCAGATAACGATTCGGGAGATGGTTCCGGAATAATGACTTCGATCCCGTGGGATCTTTTCAACAAGTGGGCCCACGAACAGGGCATGAGCTCCTTCGACCAGTTGCACACTGGAGTTGGAATGGTCTTTCTTCCGAAAGACGACGACTTGATGAAACAAGCCAAACAAGGTCAGTTAGTATTTCTGCTATTAAACAACTTGTCGGTTTTTCTTGATTTTAATCAGTAGAATGTTTATTTCAAGAGCATAATGAACAATGTTCTAAGGCCTCGTTTGGTTGGGGAGATTAGCCATGAACTTAATAATTGGACTTCGTTTGATGTTTGGTAAACCCAACAATTTTCCGGGTCGACCTGGATTTTTCTTTTTATCATAGTTATTTATTGGACCTCCCATGGTACAATAATACAATTGGGTTTCCGTTAGATTGTTTAATCTTATCTTATAAACTAAACGACGCCGAAATGTATAATCAACATGCATATTGATCTCAATTTTTTTCTAAAAATCCTAAATTTATGTTGTATATTATAATCAATTATCTGAGTTCGATTATTTTATCATGCAGCTATTTTGGATATATTTAAACAAGAGGGTCTCGAAGTACTCGGCTGGAGACCGGTGCCAGTAGACGCATCCGTGGTTGGTTTCTACGCAAAGGAAACAATGCCGAATATACAACAGGTCTTTGTCCAAATATCCAAAGAAGAAAACATAGACGACATTGAAAGAGAACTGTACATCTGTCGAAAGCTGATCGAAAGAGCTGCCACCTCAGCGGCATGGGGAAACGATGTCTACTTTTGTTCGTTATCGAACCAAACTATTGTTTACAAGGGAATGCTTCGGTCGGAGATTCTTGGTCGGTTTTATTTCGATCTGCAAAACGATGTTTACAAAACCCCGTTTGCTATATATCATCGTAGATACAGTACGAACACTAGTCCTAGGTGGCCTCTTGCTCAACCAATGAGGTTCCTCGGTCACAATGGAGAGATTAATACCATACAGGTTATATACTCGTTTTTTTTTTTATCACGTTTAATTGGAATGTTTTCGGGTATACTGAAGTTGAAAATTTTATTCAGGGGAATTTGAACTGGATGCAATCGAGAGAGACTTCATTGAAGTCCCCTGTTTGGCGTGGCCGTGAAAATGAAATTCGGCCTTTTGGAAACTCGAAAGCTTCCGATTCTGCAAATCTTGATAGTGCTGCAGAAGTATTAGCCTTAAAGCCTTTTATTATTATTATTAATTTATTATTTTTTTATATATACAGTTTAAATTAATGTTTTTACTCTTTTCTTGGATACAGTTGTTAATTAGAAGTGGTCGAAATCCCGAGGAAGCCCTCATGCTTCTTGTTCCAGAGGCATACAAGAATCACCCAACACTAATGATCAAATATCCCGAGGTCTAATATTATTTCTCTAATATTTTATTGTCGAACCGAAATTTATTTCCCCGGTTAATTGAATTTTATTGTATTGCCTATTCTTGATTTTCAAAATATTACAATCTAAAACCGACATTTCATTTCAGGTTGTTGATTTTTACGATTACTACAAGGGTCAAATGGAGCCATGGGATGGACCTGCTTTACTCTTATTCAGGTGACATTTCTAAATGTAGGTTTTTTATTTTATTTTAACTTTTTCAAAATAATTTTCATATTCTTATTTTTGTTGGGACGTAATTATTATGTCAGTGATGGGAAAACAGTTGGAGCTTGTCTTGACCGTAATGGACTTCGTCCAGCTAGATATTGGCGTACAGTAGACAATGTTGTCTATGTTGCATCTGAGGTTTGCTTTCTTTAAGTTTGTTCCATGAGTCGTGCACCAGTATTTCTTGGAGAACGTACCTTTTATTTATAATTTAATATTTTTTTTCAAATTTCCAAAGGTGGGGGTTCTACCAATCGAAGACTCGAAAGTTGTAATGAAAGGGCGTTTAGGTCCAGGAATGATGATAACAGTCGACCTATCTAGTGGCCAGGTATTTTTACTATGTAATCTTCGTATTTCACTGATTTCTCGGAGGCATTTCATGCATCTGTCGATATGTAACATTCATTTTTATTCTGATGGCTGAAAGTTAGTACCGTTTCGAGACTCCGTTTTTTGTTAAGAAACACACCTTTCGATCTTACATCCTTTTGTACCTCTCCTTTTTCTATGTAGGTTTTTGAAAATACGGAGGTTAAAAAGCGAGTTGCACAGTTGAATCCATACGGAAAATGGGTGAGCGAAAATCTCCGCTCGTTAAAAGCTGTCAACTTTCTGTCATCAACCGTCATGGACAACGAAACAATATTAAAGCGTCAACAGTAAGTCTCTGTAATTTTTTTAATTTTAAATTATGAGATTGAGATTCTTTAAATGAAACAATATCTCGTTTATTTTGTTGATAGGGCATACGGGTATTCTAGTGAAGACGTTCAAATGGTAATCGAATCAATGGCTTCTCAAGGAAAGGAGCCTACTTTTTGCATGGGGGATGATATTCCATTGGCAGTATTATCGAGAAGGCCGCATATGCTGTACGATTATTTCAAGCAACGATTCGCTCAGGTTTGTACTATTTTCATTAAATCCCGGAGCAGGACTTATACGAGTCCGATATAGAGTATACGACTATACATTTCTTGAATTTTTTCGAGCTGATATCAATCAGACAACGGGTCTTTCTGTATGTGTATGAACCAGGTTACAAATCCTGCTATCGACCCTCTTAGAGAAGGATTAGTCATGTCTCTTGAAGTCAACCTCGGGAAGCGAGGGAACATTCTAGAAGTTGGTCCTGAAAACGTCTCGCAGGTGCGCTTTTGCATTACCTTAATAATCGAATATTACTTCAAAGTTTCTGAACAATTGAGAAATAGTAAGTCTTATTATTCATTTATCTAGGTGATTTTGTCGAACCCTGTTCTGAATGAAGGGGAGCTCGAGTCGTTACTGAAAGATCCGTTCTTGAAAGCCCAAATTTTACCTACTTTCTTTAGCATAAGGAAAGGAATCGAAGGCTCACTTGAGAAAAGGCTTTACAAGCTTTGTGAAGCTGCTGATGAAGCTGTTAGAAATGGCGCCCAGCTTCTTGTTCTCTCTGATAGGTCCGACGAGCTGGTAAGTCTCTCTCTCTCTCTCTCTCTCTCTCTCTCTCTCTCATTTATTTATTTATTTATTTATTTATTTATTTATTTATTTATTTATGTTTGTTTTTATCAGGATGCGACCAAGCCGGCAATTCCGATACTTCTAGCTGTGGGTGCTGTTCATCAGCATCTAATTCAGAATGGACTGAGAATGCAAACTTCCATTGTTGCTGATACAGCACAGTGCTTCAGTACTCATCAATTTGCTTGTTTGATTGGATATGGTGCAAGGTATCTCTTCTTTTGTATTCCGTTTTGCTTTTTGTGCATTTATTACGTGCTTCAAATATTCAGTATTTTTTTCATAACTTTTCAGCGCTATATGTCCATACTTGGCATTGGAAACGTGTCGTCAATGGCGGTTGAGCACTAAAACCGTGAACTTGATGAGAAACGGAAAAATGCCCACTGTTACTATTGAACAAGCTCAGAAGAATTTCTGCAAGGTTTTGTATACTATTTCTATGCGTCTCTTTAATATTTTTTTTAATTTGAAAAAAATGTTTTGGTCGAAAATGGTGAACATTGAAGTGCTTATTTTTTTTTTAATCTTTTTAAAATTTTATTTTCCAGTCAGTTAGATCCGGCCTTATGAAAATTCTTTCGAAGATGGGAATCTCGTTGCTATCCAGGTATGTTTTCCATTTTCTAGTCACTTTTTAACTTGTAGTTAATAGATTTTTCGTTTCTGTTGCATATTAATTCTTGGTGAAAGTCTTACTGGCATATACTTGCTTTCAGTTATTGCGGAGCACAGATATTCGAAATTTATGGACTGGGGAAAGATATAGTTGACCTTGCTTTTTGTGGGAGTGTGTCGAGCATTGGTGGATTAACCTTGGACGAGGTAATAAAAAATCCAATTTACAATGAAGCGTTTTTCGTATCATCCTGGATTTTAGTGTTTACGATGTATAAACTGCGTGTTTCCTTAACATTTAATTTTTTTGATCTTTTTGCAGTTGGCAAGGGAGACTTTATCGTTTTGGGTTAAGGCATTCTCCGAAGACACTGCTAAAAGACTCGAGAATTTCGGGTTCATACAATTTAGGCCTGGAGGTAGATTTTATTACATGAATCATGTTTCAGTTTCACCATTTTTACATTTGCTTAATTTAATAGTACTAAACCCTCTTTTCGTTTTACTCTTATGAAAGGTGAGTACCATGGAAACAATCCCGAGATGTCTAAATTGCTCCACAAAGCCGTTCGACAAAAGAGCGAAACCGCATATTTGGTTTACCAGCAGCATTTGGCTAATCGACCCGTAAATGTGAGTTTCTTTTCTGCAATCCCAAAACATGCAAAACAAAAAAAAAATCATCTAATTAGCTTTCAAGAACTTAAAAATCGAGGCTTTAAAATCCTAAAAAAAATTGCAATTTTACCGATTTTTTTACTCTGCAGGTTCTGAGGGATCTTATCGAGTTCACGAGTGATCGTGCTCCAATCCCAGTTGGAAGAGTGGAGCCCGCTTTGTCTATCGTTAAGCGATTCTGTACAGGTGGCATGTCGCTCGGTGCTATTTCGAGAGAAACCCACGAAGCAATTGCCATAGCTATGAATCGATTAGGCGGTAAATCCAATTCAGGCGAAGGTGGTGAGGTAACTCTTTTATTTTTATTTTTTTCTTTTTTCTTCTTTTTCTTGATTACGTACTGTCGAATTTGCTGGTAACAATTTATAATTAATATTAATGCGTGACCTTAAATCCAGGATCCAATTCGATGGAGCCCACTTACAGATGTCGTTGATGGTTACTCTCCGACACTGCCACATCTCAAAGGTCTTCAAAACGGCGATACCGCTACAAGTGCCATAAAGCAGGTTTAAATTACATGCAATTTTTTTTATTATTATTAATGTCATGTAATAAAATATTTAATTTTGATCCTTTTCAGGTAGCTTCGGGGAGATTTGGTGTCACGCCGACATTTTTGGCTAATGCCGACCAATTAGAAATCAAGATTGCTCAAGGTGCTAAACCAGGGGAAGGCGGCCAATTACCAGGGAAGAAAGTTAGTGCTTATATTGCGAGATTGAGGAATTCGAAGCCTGGCGTACCGCTTATTTCTCCGCCGCCACATCATGATATTTATTCGATTGAGGATCTTGCTCAGTTGATTTACGACCTTCATCAGGTGAGATTTTTGGAATATGTATATTTTGTTTATTCTAGTAAAAAATAAAATAAAAAATGTGATTACGTAAATACGGGTTTGTAAATGTATATTGGATGAACAGGTGAATCCGAGGGCTAAAGTATCGGTGAAGTTAGTTGCGGAAGCTGGCATTGGTACAGTGGCTTCTGGAGTTGCTAAGGGTAATGCTGATATTATACAGGTATGCATCAGTGATAAGGGTCGAAATTGGAACGGAGATTCCGAATTTCGAAATTTCCGATCTTTTTTTCCGATTATTTTTTGGAACGAAATCTGAATACATATGAGATTCCGTTTCCCGATCCAATCTGAAAATATTTCCAAAAATTGTAGATATCGGGCCATGATGGTGGAACCGGAGCTAGCCCCGTAAGTTCTATCAAGCATGCTGGTGGTCCATGGGAACTCGGCCTTACAGAATCACATCAGGTTTATTTTACAGAATCTTGATTTTTTATTTTTTTTTCCATATGATTCTTTATACTGAGTTGATTAATTTATATTCGTTTATTCTGATTTTGATTTAATTTATTTAGACACTCATTTCGAACGGGCTTAGAGAAAGGGTCATTCTCAGAGTGGACGGAGGATTCAAAAGTGGATTCGATGTTCTAATGGCTGCGGCTATGGGTGCCGACGAATACGGATTCGGCTCAGTTGCAATGATTGCCACTGGCTGTGTCATGGCTCGTATTTGCCACACTAATAATTGCCCTGTTGGTGTTGCTAGTCAGGTGACAAAAAAAAATCTTTTTTTCTTTTAATGTTGTCTTTTTTCAGACAAACTTTTTTTCTTTTTTGGGGGCATTTTCGACAATTCTTTTTTGTTTTTTGTTTGCAGAGAGAAGAGCTGAGAGCTCGTTTTCCTGGTGTACCCGGTGACCTTGTGAACTACTTTTTATATGTTGCTGAAGAGGTAATATTAAAATTTTCAAGATTTTATTTTTATTATTTACATTTTAATTCACCGATGATTTTATGACAACCTTTTTTTTTAGGTAAGAGGAATGCTGGCTCAATTGGGATACGAGAAACTCGACGATGTGATTGGCCACACCGAATTATTGAAGCCAAGAGATGTTTCTTTGATGAAGACTCAGCATCTTGATCTTAGTTACATTCTTTCTGTAAGTATATGTGATTTATATTTTCGATCCGAAAATTTCTTATAATTTAGCGATAATTGTGCTTGTAATAAATAATTTACGTTTTTTTTATGTTGTAGAATGTTGGATTACCAAAATGGAGCAGTACTGTGATAAGAAATCAAGAAGTTCACAGTAACGGTCCGGTTTTGGACGATACATTGCTTTCGGACCCAGAGGTAATATTTAGTGTGCTATTTTTTTTTTTAAATTCAGAAGAAAGAATTTGAAATGAAATAAATAATTTTTTTTTTCTGTACAGGTGGCGAATGCTATTGACAACGAGACGGTTGTGAATAAATCGGTGAAAATATATAACGTGGACAGGGCAGTTTGCGGGCGTATTGCTGGCACAATTGCAAAGAAATACGGAGACACTGGATTTGCTGGACAAGTGAACCTAACGTATGCATAACTAATTGTATTTTCGTATCCAATATATATATATATATATATATATATATATATATATATTTATAGATTATCAAGTATTTTTCGCAGCATGGCCTTATTATAGTACTAAGTATCATGTGTTGTGTTTTCTGTAATTTGCAGATTCACGGGAAGCGCTGGCCAATCGTTTGCTTGTTTCTTGACACCTGGCATGAACATTCGGTTAGTAGGAGAAGCCAATGACTATGTTGGGAAGGTAAATCTAACAATGTTTCTTTCGTTTATTTTCTCCGATTTCACTAAAAAAAATCCCCATTTTGGATTACACTTTCTAGAGTTTATTGTATTTACTACACTGTGTTATATCTAATTGCTAAAAGATCCCGTTGTACTGCATATTTTTAGCACACACCCCCCTAAACAGTCGTAGGAGTTTTTAGCAATTAGAGAAAATACGGGGGTGCTGAATGCAATAAACCCTTGATTTATACTTGAAAAAAAAACCCGATTTTTAACTAACCATGGTTAATAAAGGGTATGGCGGGAGGAGAAGTGGTGGTGACTCCGGAGGAAAATCCCGGATTTGCCCCCGAGGACGCCACAATAGTGGGAAACACGTGCTTGTACGGAGCAACTGGCGGTCAACTCTTCGTCAGGGGGAAAGCCGGCGAGCGTTTTGCCGTCAGAAACTCACTAGCGGAAGCGGTGGTGGAAGGCGCCGGAGATCACTCGTGCGAGTACATGACCGGTGGTTGCGTTGTAGTCCTCGGGAAGTGAGTTTTTTCATTAATTTTTTTTTCGTGAAAATGGCTTCTAGAACTTTCTAGAAGTTTTTTTTGTATCCGTCTATTTTGACTGTCTTTGCTTCTTTTGTCGATAGGGTGGGCCGAAATGTGGCAGCTGGTATGACCGGAGGCTTGGCTTATATTCTCGACGAGGATAATACGCTTATCCCTAAGGTTTTTTTTTTTCTTTTTTTTTTTTTAATTTTTTATTTGATGTAATAAATTCAAGACCAATGTACTATATTAAATTCTTAACATTGTATGTAACATTTGGTGTCAATAGGTGAACAAGGAAATTGTCAAGATCCAGAGAGTCGTTGCTCCAGTCGGACAAATGCAGCTCAAAAACCTAATCGAAGCCCACGTTGTAAGTAAACGAAATTATTTTAATTAATCACGATTTTAACTGACGAAATAATTTTATTAACCGTGATTTTTTTTGTTACAATGTCTAGGAAAAAACCGGTAGCTCCAAAGGAGCAGAAATTCTGAAAGAGTGGGACACATATTTGCCGCTCTTTTGGCAACTCGTACCGCCGAGCGAAGAAGACACGCCGGAGGCTTGTGCCGATTACGAGGAGACGACTTCTGGACAGGTCACTCTGCAGTCTGCATAGAAAAAAAAAAATAATCCGGTATACGAAGACGGAAAAAGAAGACGGACGAAATTGTTTCCGAGAGACGAGACGAATTTCATCCTCGGCGTTGGATTAAAAAAGTCCGAGGTTGTCTCGAAAGTTGTATATTGTGTTTGCAAGAATTCTGTTAGATGCTGTGATAGGGTTTCTCAGAATGAGAGTGGTGTATTTTATTTTTTTTCAGGATTTTCATTTTTAAGTGCAAGAATTGATGGAGATGTGAAATATCAAGAATTTCAAATTGACCCCCAAGAAAAATAAAGGGGGTTCTCCAATTTATGTTGGGGGGCTTGTTGCTATAAATTTATATTTTTATATATTCATTAATATATAATTGTATATGCAGTTAAACGGTATCCTTGTATATTTGGAATTTCTGAAATTTATTTGGTGTGTAAAATTGCGCTCTGGATTTGAATGTAATAACTAATATAACTAATACTCTTGTTCTATAATAGTCTCCATTTAAAAATATTTTTATTTTATATTATCTGTCACTTTAGATTTTCAATATTGCATTAAATGTATTTTTTCTGTTTTAACCTTATTAATTCAACTATAAGTATTAACTATCTCTTATCACGTTATTAAATAATCAAGGTTATTTTAGTCATTTTTATATAATTTTTCTAAAATCAAGATATATTTATTGAGTTTCTTAATCTTTGTGGAAAGTGAAAAGTGACAATTATTTAGGAACGGAGGGAGTATGTTATTGGGTAATTACGGTCAACTCCTTGAGATAAAGTCAAATTACAAAAGTCTCATTTTTGTTTGAGTAATTACAATTTACCCATCAACTATGAATCTTCCTACACGTCCGATGTTAAATTCAACATAATCTTCTAGATTCTGTGGGATGTTCAATTCTATTTGTAATCATTTTGTGCAAAAATATTGTTTGTGATGACCATAATCTGATATTTACAAGTCAAGAGACACATCTTATGATCATCTTGTTTCAAAATATGGAGCTCGAATGGGATAAAACGGGTGCAAACTGGAGAATGTTCCACATAATTTAGAAGTTTCTACAAAATTTAACACCGACGGATAAGAAAATTCAAAGTTGAGGAAGGTGACTATAATTACCCAAACAAGAATGGATATTTTTCATAATTTGACTTTACATTAGGGCTTATTTTGTTTTATTACATTTATTAAAATCTAATTTAAATATTGATAATTCTAATAAAAAGAAATTAAAAGAAAAAGAAAAAAAAAAGGGCTACCACATTTATTTAATAAAAAATAATTAAAAAAAGAAACCTAGAGAGTCGTGCACATGCAGTATTGCTAGGAATCCAAGGGCCCATGCAGCCGTACAGGTGGGATCTATGTATAAGTACGTGTTGGTCAACATTATTTTACGACTTCCAACCCCCTTAGATTTACTACTCCTAATAATAATAATTATAATAATTATATTAAATTTTTTTTTTTTTAAATATTAATTTCAAGTGTGTATATATGGAGTAGTATCAACGCGCCGCTGTTGGCAAAACCGCCGTCAGCAAACCACCGCCGGAAAAGTGGTCCAAGTACAGATGAATCTGTAGCCCACAGCATAAAACCCCTTGTATTATCTTTCTCACGTACATTAGTTGTGCAAAAGCCAAATGTATGAATCGTCGACGCCACGTGTCAGCATCTTATGATGATGTAGGAGATGAGGTAATCAATTTAGTTCTTAATTCAAGGGGTACTAACCCCCCCTCAAAAGAAAACTGACAAAATTAATAAATTAAACAAAATTGCAGTTAATTATACTAAACCAAGTCTCATAATCGGAGATTATACCTTAAGGGCATGTTTGGTTGGCAAGATAAGATTAGCCAAGATAAGATTAAATAGTCTAATAAAACCCAATTATTTTATTGGAGCTTGCGACGTCCAACAAAAAAAACACACTAGAAGGCAAGATAAACCAAGATAACCATGATTATATAATTTTGGCGGGTCCACCCGACAATTTATTGGGAATACAAAACATCAAATTAAGTCTAACTATTTAGTTAATCTTGGCAACCAAACGGGGCCTAAATTGATAATATATGGTTTATATAAGATACTCCATCCGTTCCTAAATAAGTGTCTCTTTTCACTTTTTCACAAAAAATAAAAAACTCAATAAATATATCTTGATTTTAGAAAAATCATATAAGAATAACTAAAACAACCTCTATTATTTAATGATTTATTTATAAGAGAAAATTAATGATTAGAGTTTCATTAATAAGGTTAAAACAGGAAAAATGCATTTAATACGGTATTGGAAATCTAAAGTGACATATAATATGTAACAAAAATATTTTAAAAAAGAGACAGTTATTGTGTAACAGATGAAGTATTATATTATAGGGCAAATTAGGGTCACCTCATAAGGTAAGATTAAATTACGAAAAAATCCCTTACTGTTTGGTTAATTACAACCACTCCTACTATGTATTGTCTTACGAAAACTTCCCTTGTTCAATAATTAAATTTGACTTCGTAAGGGTGGACGTATAAAACAATACATAATTGAAGGTGTGGATGTAATTATACAAATATGAGGGGGTTTTCGTAATTTATTTGCATACAAATATGTGCACTCTCTAACGAATACATGTAAATAACAATTTATTTCCAACTCACCCGTCCTCAAAATTACATCCACTCCAGAAAATGACATTTTTTTTCCATTCTTTCGCCTCCATACTCGTCCCAGGCCTCCGACAGTCTAAATTCCGCCACAACTATTTTCAGTCAATTTTTTTTATTCCTGTTTAAAATATCTATTTTCAGTTAAGATTAAGTTCTCCAATTAAACTGCCAATTTTCAGTCCAAAATGTCTATTTTTAATTTAAATTCTTGGACTAAATTATCTATTTTCAATTTAAGCTGTCAATCTAAGTTAGACGAGGAACTTTTAGCAAATTCAAAACACCCAAAAAAAATTGTTAGCTATACAAAATATTTTTTTAACGACTTTTCGCCATTTTTTCCAATAAAAATATATACAAATTAAGTAAATAATATGTGGAAATTTCCAAAGCATTGGTTATAGGCTTGAAAACGTTAGTACATAAAACTCAGAAGTGTCACCTCTAACTTATCGACAACGATGCACTACACTCTCAACTTTTTCAGCCCCAAAAATTCTCATATACATACACCATGCCCAAACTAAATTTATTTATAGAACCTTATTATTTTTTAATTTTCTCAAAAAAATAAGTGTTTAATTTCAATGCGTTTTTCAATAGTATTTCTCAAAATATTTGGAAAAGTCAAAATCAAAATTTGTAAATTGGAATAATAAAACAAATGTTTCAAAATTGACTTTAATTGAAAACTAGTACTTCACCCGTGCGTTGCACGGATATCAGTTTCAAAATGAGAAAAATAATAATATTTAAACGAATATCTTTTTATAACAACAGCAATTCAAGTAAAACAAAATGGAAGGAAATAAAAAATATTATCTCTTAATTCAGAGTTATAACATATGAAATTCAATTAAATATTGCAAAGAAAAATACGCGAATGGCGCAAAGCACGATATGAAGATTAAGTGAAATAATTTAAAACATATGGTATAACTCTATTTCATGGAATGCAATCTACTACACCATGCGAATCATCTGCAAAATAACTAACTTAACAACAAACACAGTAGCATAGAGGTAACACAATAGATATTCAAATAACCTGCAAGTTTATCACTAACAACATTAAATTAGTGATCACATTACTCAAACAACAACACAACTTATAAATATTGCAAAAGAGATAAGATGTATACGCCAATATCAATAATAATACCAATACTGATACTAATACTTATACTAATACTAATACTATTAATATTAATACTAATACTAATACTAATACCAATACTATACTAAGTTTAATACTAATATTAATATCAATGTTAATACTAATACTAATACTAATAATAATACTAATATTGATAGTAATGATAATAGTACTACTGATATTAATATTGATACTAATACTAATACTTATATTCGTACTAATACGGGTAATCATACGGATACTAATTCTAATCATAATACTAATCTTAATACTAATACTAATACTAATGCTAATACTAATACTAATACTAACTGATATTGATACAAATATTGATACTGATACTGATACTGATACTGATACTGATATTGATACTGACACTGATACATATATTGATACTGATACTGATGTTAATACTGATACTGATGTTGCTAGTCATATTGATACTCATAGTAATATTAATATTAATATTAATACTATTATAATACTGATACTAATATTGTTACTCATACTGATACTGATGCTGATAAAAATACTAATACTAATACTAATATTATACTAATAATACTGATACTAATATTAATATTGATACTGATTGATAGTGAAATTGATACTAATATTGATATTCATACTGATTTTGATACTGAAACTGATACCGATACTGATACATATACTGATAATGATACTGATACCGATAATGATATTTATACTGATACTGGTATTGATATCGATACTAATACTGATACGGATACTTATACTAATATTAATACTAATATTAGTACTAATACTAATACTATTACTAATAATAATATTAATACTAATATTGATACTAATACTAATAGAAATGCTAACACTAATTTTAATGCTAATGATATATATATATATATATATATACTGATACCGATACTGATACTGATACTAATACTGATATTGATACCGATACTAATAATGATACTGATACTGGTACTGATATTGGTATTGATACATATTGTGGTACTGATACTGATACTTATACTGATACCGATAATAATATTGATACGGATACTTATACTTATGTTAATATTAATTCTTGTACTAATACTAATACTAATACTAATACTAATACTAATATTAATACTAATATTAATACTAATACTAATACTAATACTAATACTAATACTAATACTAATACTAATACAAATACCAATACTAATACTATTACTAATACTAATATTAATACTAATACTATTATTAATACTATTACTAATACTATATGTTAATATTGTTAATGTTAATGCTAATATTAATTTTGATGCTAATGCTAATCTAGATAAGCTAATTATTATGCTAATGCTAATTATGATTGTAATTCTAATATTATTGAAATCCTTATCGTATTCATAATTCTATTCATAACAGTAATAATAGTTCTAATCGTAATCCTAACCATAATCCTATTCCTAACACTAATCATAAGCCTAATAAGTTTAATACTAATAATGCTAATGTTAATTATAATTCTAATCTTAATTATAATTCTAATCCCAATCCTAATGTTAATCATAATCCTAATGCT